AATACAAAGCTTTCTTCATAAACACTTGTGTTCCTCCTTTGAATTCTTAAGTGGTCTATTTGGTGCCGTTCTAAGACCTCAACGCTAGAGTGGGAGGCTGACTTAGTGTAAAAATCGCAGGGGCGGAAGTTGGAGACACTAAGGGGCGCACGGTGCTTGGAGAAAACAACAAGTCCGTGATAGATTGCTTCCTTACAAGGAAAATATGACCGATGAGCTTCTCAAATCTCTGCAGCTGGTATTGAAACAGGATGCTTGGGTTGCTGATGCTTATTGTGAACAAATCACGTAGGAAGTGATACATCTTGTAAAAGCAAATGCAATGCAGATAAGATCTCATATGAAAAACCAGTAACTTCTTCACCACCATCGCCCACCAGGCACTTACATTTCGATCACCACCGACTCCAAACCACCAACAACGTCGTTTGGCTAAAAATCAATTCCAAACAGCTTCCTCACCATCATTTCGACCACCATCGACTCCTCCAAATTTGTAGACAATCCTCGTACCAATACCTAGCTTTGTCGCCACCCACCAAATCACAAATGCTGAATTCTTCAACCTCAGTCGCTGACATCACCACCCTCATCTCACCTTTCTCAGACCCATCGCCTAACTGTGCAACACCATCAACGTCGCCGATCACATTATCATGACCAATATCGTGGCGATTTTCTTCTCCACGCCAACCAACGATCACCTTATCCCTAATTAAAGCCCCAATATAGTTTTCTTCTCCATACCAACCCATGCTGAGAATACAAAAGTTGGACAAACAATCAATGATGTTCTCGGCCTGAATAATCATAAGAGTTGTCTAAACTAAACTAAGAATTGATTTCCTGATGAGTGGTGGGTGCCCGGTTGGGGGTGGCCGTGGGTAAAAAAGTTTCTGGTTTTGAGGGTATGGTGTTTGGAGAAGAAGATTCATTTTTCTCGTTTTGGGGTGGGGGGAAAAAAGATGAAGTTATCTTTGTTTTTCAAGTTTTGATTTTCAATTATTTGTTTGGGACTCATTTTAATTTTGTTTTGAAAAATTTGGGCCTATGGTTTCAATTAATTCCTTATTTTTTCTTTTCTTTTTCTTTTATTTAAATAAGAGGGTATATTTGTTATTTCACAAATTTTTATTGATAAAATGGATGAACATTTATGTAAATGATGTTTTCCGTAATGAAACGTGGAAATATGGGTGAAAATACAAAAAATTAAAACATATAGACATTTTGCACACTAAACATCAAATGTATGGATATTTTGTGCTAATAAGCCTTATTTTAAATTAACCCTTACGATTTACTTTCAACTTAATTTTGATATTCAGTTAAATTTTCATAGTTTTAACTTTTAACAAAACAGAAAGCATGGCAGACTTGCACGTAGCGACCTTCCATCAGCTTTCATAACGAGCCCAGACATCATTCGTTGCATATTTCATCACAATGCTTATTAGTGTGTAATCGCCTGATCACATCCTTGTGTTGCATTTGGTGCCAAAGAACTCGTCTATTTGCAATGTATATCTTCTAGCTTGTTCACATGCTCATACACAACATACGGTCCTCTTGAAACATGCTTGCTAGAAAATGAACTCTCCTTGCTCTGTCAGAAGTATTGAGGGTCATTTGCATACCTCACAATGAAATCCTTTCAATTGTCACTTTCTACTGAATTTTAGCTTAAAGCTTGACGTCATTGCCATCGTTAGTGCCTAGCTCAATTAAGGTCCTCCATTAATCCATGACTAATTAGAAGCACCTTCACAATATACTTGTTTTTATATATCGACACATTTTCGTATTCGCCCAACTATACAACATTCCCTACAATCGCATTTCTAACCAAAAAACTTTGGGCCAAGGCTATAACTTATAGCCAATGCATAAAGTTAGTATACGAGGCATTTATAGTACTTTCCTTGCTAGCTCATTTAGCTTAGAGTTGTTATCGAATCCTTAATGTTGCTAACAGAGCCTTGCAAGGCTTTATTAGTAACTTCAAGTCTCCTTGGGGTGTCCTACGAAGGTCTAACGCCGCTTGATGAATTTCAACCATACAAATATTTTTGTCTTCCCTAAAAGTGCCTAAAGTAGACTAGTGTTCTAAAAAACGTAAAACATAGTGAAGCGTAGAGGTCGAGTTTCGATCTAAGCAAGATTAAGCGAAGCCTGGGCATTAAAAGCAGAAAAAAATATTTTCTTATTTTAATATTAATTTAAATTTTTAAATCAATCTAAAAATTATAAATGAAAAAAAAACGTAAAAAAGAAATAAAAAGCGTAAAAAAAAACCAGCACTAAGCATGCCTGAAAAAAATAAAAAAAAATAAAAAACTGCAAAGTGAGGTGTTGTGCTCTCGCTTCGAGCTTAGAACCTAGGCGTCGTTTTTTAGCGGCAACATTGTATATTTAATGTACAAGTATAGCCCAAATTGCCCTTCCGTGGAGACGAAAGCACGGGAGTGGCTAGCTAACTGCTCACCAAGCAAACCCCTTATAAGTTTTTTATTTATCAGCGGTCGGGCGAACGCAGGCCACCACTACCACAAATTATGACGTAGGCTCGACCACTTGGGCCGACCATAGGCTGGCGCGCCCCTCCAAAGTGCAATGGAAGTCGCCAACCTAGGCCATGGGCCTTCTTGATCGCCCATTGACCCCGTCCAGGTAAGTGCCCTTATAAGTTATAATAGACTTAGCAAGAAAATTCAAGTAACACTAATAGACGTCATTTGGTCGAAAAATCATAATTTTCATAACTGATGATACCAAACTCCAAATGACGCTCCATTTGATCATTATCTGATCTAACATCTTCAATATCATGTCCACAAAGTTACAGTCCGAATAAATATACGATCCCAAAGAGACTACCCTTGCAATACACTTAAAATTGTGACAGATTGTCACCTTCAGCCCTATATTTCCTAGCCGAACGGACTTTGATTGTCATCTGTCATGCTGAAAAGCTTACTAACTCCTCTCCATAGCACAGCTTCCCAAAATTCAATTGCTAAGGTCTTCTACTCGGCAAACGAACTTCTTATCATCACGAACAACTATTAAACTCATTTCAAGCAAACTTTCCTCTCATCTCCAATGGTCGTCACGAACCACGAAAATTAGCTTTATGTTAATTTGTGGTCCGTGACATCCTGACTCGTCAAACATCTCGATGGAATAACTAATTAAATTTTGATAAAGTTTTATGAAATGTATGATTGAAAAGTTTATAAAAGTTGTAAATCCATAAAATATATGATTAAAATTAATTATCGACTCTGATTTAGATATTTATTAACTTTTTATCTAAACCAAACACAAACTTAGTTGAGTGATTAAAATGAAATAAAATGTAAACGCGAGTGGCTAATTTGGTATAAAATAAAATTTAATATATTGTTTTATTGATTTGATGCTCAACCCAATAAACATTTGGTTCAATTTTAATAGCAATTACAAAAATACACGACCTCACAATAAATATTATCAAAAATAAAAATACATCAAAATTCATAGAAAATTAGGGTTGGGATTCAAGCCTTTTTGGTTATGAGTCTGAACATTTGAAAGTGAATTTCTTAATCATTAATATATTTAAATATATGAATATCAAAATCATCGTAGACATTATATATAGTCCAGCCAAATATTCTCTAATTAGACTAGTTTAGTATTTTCATGAAAAAAAAAATAAAGAAAAAAATCATTACGAATCCAATATATGCAATTTATCATCATAATTATGACATGTTTGGAAAGTATTTACGAACTATTTAAATTATAAATAAATAAGACAAATAATTAATTAGTCGACAATACTTATAATTCTTCATAATGTGTGAATAAAAAATGACTTATAAAAATAGTTTATAAATATGCTCCAAACTTATGATAGTGAAATTAAGCCAATCGGAACAGTCGGAAATGAGAATGTTATTATAATGATTTTTTTTTTTTGTTCGTGTGAAGGGCAATACAAACTTTACGGACTGGGTTGTAAGGATTTTTAATCAAACACGTGGGCTTATATGTGAAATATTGTGTATTAAATTAAAGGCTAACTATTTCGGTTAAGCCCATTTAAAGTGATCTAATAAGGTTTCGGTATTTTGGGCTTTGAAGCATCTAATTAAAGTATGGGCTCTTATGTGTAGAGACCGGGCCTATTCCTAATTCCATGATGGGCCGGATTAGGTCAA